GAAGAGCAAGACAATATCAATTAGACGTTCATTCATCGTGATCTCGCTGAACGTGGTTGCTGTGCTGATCAACACGTGACGGCGTTGTGCTCATACGCATCGCGGGTGGCTTTGGTTCGATCCACAACTTCTCGCAGTGATGGTGACACCACTTTTCTTGGACGCGACGTCTGCAGCGTGAGCAAAATGGCCGCGCGCTGATTGTTAACGACACTGTCCACCATCGGCATCGGCATGACACTCTCGAGCTCGTACTCGGGGCTCAGCTTGCTCTCGTGCATCGTCGGTAGGCTGTCCGTGAGCGCAAAGCATAGCCGCATGAGCTTTTGTCGAGCAACTGCACCGCTGGAAACGACACACACATAGCGAGCAACCACTGTTTGAAGTCGAGCGGCGACGTGAACACCATCGACTCATCGCGCGGACGTCCATTTGCAACAAACGCCTTGTGCACGTGGTCAACGACACGGCGCACACACAGCTCACCATGGTGATGCAACTGCAAGAACGCTCCGACGCCAAAGCGCAGCACTGCTTGCAGCAGCGCCATATCGTGGCGCCACGGGCACCACCATGCAGGCATCCCGTCACAGAGCCATGGAAGACCTATATCGATGGCATTGTTATGATACCATTCTCAACTCGATGCAAGCCAAAACTCACCTGATCGAAGCAGTCGTCGCAGTTCGCCCTCTTGGTTGTGTAGGACGTGCGAAACTGCACGGTAAACTTGCGTCCGTCGCAAGAGCAAGCCTGCGAGCACCTTGGCTTTGGCTCCATGCAACGCGGCGACTTGGAACGGGTCCACAAACGTCACTTCGTTCTGCGATCGTGGCGCGCAAAGGTCCTTGCCCAGAAGCTCATGGCATTTGCCGAGCACGCGGTCGTACGCGTAGCGCTGCGTGCGCGCTGCGGACTTGTGAACGCGCGCTGCCTCGACGACTTGAAGCCAACTCCATTCCCCGTAGCTCGACAAGAGCAGCGGCGCGCCACAGAGGCTGAGAACGTAGCTCACAGACTGACCCTCGTCGACGCTCCAGTCCTTGACGAAGCCTGTCTCGCTTGCATCTGCCACGAGTGACCATACCTACAAGACTTCGTGCGCAGTGCATCTCGGTGAAAATAGAGTACCTGCGCGTTTTGGAGTTGAACCGAATGCCGGAGTAGGTCAAGGTGCACAAGCTGCCACGTGAGGGCGTCTTGTCGCCGAAGAACTGCGACTTTTTGCGACTGCTCGAGCGTTGTCGTGCGTACAACCTCGGATGACGACTTGTCACGCTTCTCTTGCTGTTTTTGCCGCTGGACATCTTCAATGGAGAGAAGCCAAATAAGCAGCCGATTCATTTGCTGCACTTCTGGCTGCTGGAACTTGACTGGCGTCGGTTCATCGTCGCACGCCGGCGACGGTTCAAACGCAGCCTCACGCTGCTGAAACACGATGCGGGGGTCGCCAAGGATTTGAGCGCAGCGTCCGTAACCGTGCAAGAAGACACCCGCGCACAGGTTCTTGTCTGCCGACGTGTCCCACCACGGCGTCAAGGCAGACCACTGCGGGCGATCCGGCACGTTAACCGTGCCGAGACCCTCGAGGAGTCGATCCAAGCCAACAAGATCGACCCGCGCGTCCAAGTCCAGAGGCAGAACGAGGTTGTCCCGCGCTGCAATTGCTTCACACGCGGCATTGATCTTGTGTTGGAGGCGGCTGAGAATGTCAAGTCGAGATAGCACTCGTCGAGCACCACCCTGCTTGAGCTTGGACACGAAGTCGTCTTCTTGGAGAACAATCGGAATGTGCTCCGTTGCGCGCTCGGTCCACACCTCGCGGTCATCAACGTTTGTAAGGTACTCGGACTTGACCGTTGACGCGGCGCGTATCGCGCTCTGGACAAACGTCGAGTCGCTCGCTTGCGTCGCGCCGCTGCAGCACAGTCCACACACGAGCACGAACGCACGGGCAAACGTTTCGACTTCTTCGACGGATCGTGACCCGCCACTCTGGCTGCGGACAATTTCCCATCGCCCAAAGCCAAAGTGCATAAGGGCGCGCTGGAGCCGATCCCGGCCGTTGACGGTCCACTCGCGAGAGACCGCGAGTGCCTTCTCGTTGTCCTTCTTGATCTCGTCCTCGTCCTCATCGTCTGAGACCAAGTCTTTCGTCGTGCCAAAGCGAGCGACGCGAGTTCGCTTTCGCTGCGAGCTAAGCACGAGCGATGACGCTTCGTCAACGGCTTCGGGCTCAGCGAGACCAACGGCCTTCTTCCAAAAGTCCGGATCATCGATGTCGACGTCGTCTGCAGTCGCTGCCTACCGTCATTGTTTGAGGCCATTTGAAAGAAAACCCAGAATATAAGTACCGAAACGAAGCTGGCCTTCGAAAACGACCCGCGGGCTTGTGCTTCGTACTGCACGATCTGCGAGCTGCGCTGGAGGAGCGTGTCAATGTCGGCCGAACAAAACTGCTCCGACGCGTCATCTTCGTCGCGGAACACATCGTAAGCACCGCGCTTGAGGAGCTCGTCGATCTCCTGTGCTTCTTGGGCCTACATTCGATAAATACTCAATGACCGACATATCAAAGTAGATGGTACCTTGGACTTCGTCGCAGGCTTCTTTGTCTCTTTATCTTGTTCTTGGCGCATGTGCGTAAGCACAGCCCGGTCCAAGCCGAGCTTGAGACTCGCCTTGTGGAACATGTGCATCTCGTACGTCTTGCGCGTAATGAGGCGATAAATCTTGACCGAGTGCGTCTGTCCGATGCGGTGCGCACGTGCCTGGGCTTGGAGGTCATTCTGCGGATTCCAGTCCGAGTCGTAAATGATGACCGTGTCCGCCGCCGTGAGGTTGAGCCCAAGGCCACCTGCTTTCGTGGATAGGAGCATGATGAAGCGCTGGTACTCGGGCTTGACGAAACGATCTACGGCAGCTTGGCGCTCGTTGCCGCGAATGTTGCCATCGAGACGCTCGTACAGGTGGCCACTGGTGCGTATGTAGTCTTCAAGAAGATCCAGGACGCGCACCATTTGGCTGAAGATGAGCACCTTGTGACCGCCCTCCTTGAGCCGTGGAAGCAGCTTGTCAAGGAGAACCATCTTGCCGCAGCACTTGACGAGCATTTCGTAGCGCTGCGCCTCGGACTCAAGGCCCTCGCAAAGTGCGTCTTCGACGCCGTTGTTGAGGTACGGATGGTTGCAGCACTTGCGAAGCTCCATCATGACGTTCATCAAGTTGGGAGCGTTGCTCGGGTTGGTTCCGCGCATGAGGAACGCAGTGTTGCGCTCGTAGATGGCGCGGTACCACTGCTTCTGAACCGTCGTGAGCTCGACCTCGATGATAGTTTCTTCCTTGGGCGGCAGTGCCTTCTCGACGTCTTCCTTCACGCGGCGCAGCAAGTACGGCTTTAGAATCTTGTGCAGCTCTGCGACCTGGTTCGCGTCTTGCAGGGACCCAAACTGTCCCATAAAATGCGCCAGCTGCGGAAACGCATCCGGGTCCAGAAAGTTGAGGAGAGCCCAAAGTTCTTCCGTTTTGTTCTGGAGTGGCGTCCCGGTGAGCAAGACGCAGTAGCTGCGCTTGAGGCTGCGCATCTGCTCGACGAGGCGACTCGACTGGTTCTTCAATCGGTGAGCCTCGTCTACGACGAGGCATTGCCACTGAATCTTCGAGAGCAGCGCAATGTCCTTGATCGCAATCTCATACGTCGTGACGAGGATCTGAAACTTGTACGGCTTCTTCTTGTCGGGCTTGCCGTGCACGAGGTGGTAAAACTCGTACTGTTGAATGATGTCCCGTGCCTCGGACGGTCCATGATACACGACGCAGTCCATCTCGGTCCACGTCTCGCACTCGCTCTGCCACTGCGCGATGAGAGAAAGCGGCGCGACGACGAGAAACGGCCCTGGGATGTGGTACTGCTGTCGCATGTCGTCGAGGAACGCCAGCGTCTGGATGGTCTTGCCAAGACCCATTTCGTCGGCTAGAATGCTCGGGCGCGCGTTGTGCCAGTTCCAGCGCAGCCAGTTTAGCCCCTCGAGTTGGTACTCGCGCAAGGTGAAGCGTCCGTCACTACCGAACGTGGGTGACGTCTCTAGCTTTTTGAAGTCTCGAATGGAGGGCCGGATTGGCGCAGGCGGCGACAGAGGCAGCGTCACGCGATGGGCGTATCGTTTCATCGCATCGTCGTCGACGATGTCACAGGCGCGCTCCCACGTGCATTCGGCGTACGAGAGCACACGCCACTTGATGAGCAATCGCTTGCCGTCGTCGGGTGCTTCACCTGCAGCCTCCTGCCGAATGTCGAGGATGCGGTGGATCTCGAGGTACTCGGGGTTGAAGTACTCGACCTCGTCATCCGGCGAGACCTCGCGCGGCCCCGCCACTTTCTCGAGAAAGCGCTTGATCTTGTACTTGTTGTTCGGATCGATCTGCAGGAGAGTCTCTTCCGTCTCCCACGACGCGTGCATGTACGAGTAGCCCTTCCACTTGATGAGAAATTGGAGATGCGGCTCCGTCTTGTGCCCCATAATCTTCTCGATGGACATAACGAGCGCTGGCGCCGACGCAGCTACGGGTACTACCGCAAGAACGTTCTTGGAAAAGTCGACTTCGGCCTCGGAGAGGTCGTCGTCCGAGTCGGGAACATGGTAGGTCGTAGTCTTCGACTTGTTGTGTCCGTCACGGTGGCTTCGCCGGCTCTTCGTCTCGTCGTTCTCGCCCGTCTTGGACCGCTTGTGGCTCGAGGAGGAAGATGACGATGACTTTTTTCGGGGCGCGTCGCAGAACGCGCAGACAGAGTCGGGCGCGTCATTTACTCCGGCGCACGCCTTGCACTTCCACGTCAAAGACTTGTGGTCGTCGCCGCTCTTCTCGCGCTTGCGCTTTTTTTCCTTCTTTTCCTTCTT